GAGAGAAAATATGATTGTCAGTCAAGTGACAGGATGTGTGGCATGAGAAGAAAGACTCCGAGTACCATACTTTACCCGAGGAAACATCAGGGGAAAGACATGGTCGCGAGAAGGAATATACTAGTCCAGCTTTGGTAAATAAGAGAAAATAGAACGGGAGCCGTTGTGGGTGGTTGAGCATGGCACCCAAAGCACCATCACTCCGCAACCTCCTTCCATCATATCTGTTGTTTGCAAAGCGTGGCGAACTCCTCAATGAGCTTCACCTACAGCTTGTCGCGCCTATATCACCAACTCTTCTAGTCAGCAGTTTAAACGGCATCCGCGTAGAGCAACTGCATGGCATCGTCAAGGTAGGAAGATCTTGCTGATGGACCATCATACACCAAGTCTGTTCAAAGACAGAGAACTTCACACCACATCTGTCAGGCCGGACCCTTCCACAGCCTTCCGACGTTGGTTCTCGGGGCTTCGGGGTGCCCAGTGAGCCAAACCAGAGGTTCCGGCATGGGTGTAAGTGTCACTCAACGTCGGATGTTACGGCGAGCAAGCCATGGAGGAGAAAAACACCGTGGCACGTATGCAGATTTGGCAGCCGGGCAAGGTCATACACTTTGTTGAGAGCAACAAGATATCGACCACTTATGAGAAACTGTAAAGACTGCAGAGAAGGCTGATGATGCTGATGAGATGGTGAATGTTGTGCCCCATCTGGCCAGTTCACCATAGACATTTCATCCACAAGCAATGTCCAGCGTTTTTGATATGTATGGAGCTTGAAGGTTGATGGGAGCATAGCATGAAGGTGATGCATTTGAGGTAGGGGTAAAAAAGTGTGACTTACTCCAAGTTGTTGCAATGGGGGGAGAGTCATGTTCATTTTGCTCTGTCGCGACCTGGGTTGTTGATATCAAGTCTGAAAAATAGTGTTCTTTGCAGGGAAAGTGTGGCTGGAGCAGGAGGTTCAGGATGTGAGTGGCACGTCAGTCGAAAGGACTGGAAAAGACGTCTTTGTCTTGCCAGAAGCAGTGAGTTTTCAAAAGCTTGCACCCAAAGCTTCATGCGCCGTCTAAAAGACAAAATTTGGAATACCAGGCGTGCCCTACTGTATCCTTCTCATCTGATCTGTAAAATTGCACTGTTGGTGGGTTTCCGCCGCGTGAGCGAGTGTGGACTCTGGCGAACTGCCCTGCTTGCGGACAGCGACTGACGACAACCTGCCTTCCCACAGAAACCCAACTGATTTCCACGCAACCAGGCGCTACAGCAATCGCGCAAACACAGCCAAAGTTGGGGTCCAGACTGAGGTGATCTTCCAGTCAGGCGATACACCCATGCTTTATACCTCTGGGTTTCACATGCCAATAAGCATCGATGCAAGTACCGGCATGAGTGACTGCTGTTAATCTGAGAGCAGTCAGATGGAGAACAGGGCTTGGCTCGGCTTAAGATTTGATCAGATGGCAGGCTTGAGACGAGGTCTGGTGAATAGGTTCCTTTTTTTTCTTTCTCTCCCGCATACAGCAACTCGAAGGCTGAAGGGTTCAGGGCTCTCTTAGAGTATGGCTTCTTGCATGGGCTTTAAGCTCCTCTCCTGAGCTGGATGGCTGTCAACATTGATGGAGGGGTCTGTCAGGCAGATATAGCCTATCATGTGGCTTTTCCAAGCTTTTCCAACCTTTTCTGGAAACTAGCACATGGTTCAGATAAGCCCTTTGTTTGTTGGGCTTGGAAGGGCGCCTACCCTGATGGCTGTGAGGAGCTTTGAGATTTGCTCCCCAAAAGATCGGACGAGGTGGGTGAAAGCCAATGCCGGTGCCATATACTCTGTCGAAGAAAAGGGGTTCCATAGTAATGGCAACCAAGGATCCGGAAGCGGCCCAGTGTCTAATATCTCATGGTTTGTGGCCCCTTCTAGATAGGAAGCATCATCATGATGATGTGTGGGAAATACGTCTTCCTAACAGAACATATCATCTGATGCGGGCATGATCCTCCAATTCCGCCGCACCATTGTTCATATGTGTGAGAAGCCGTTCTCTAACTACTAACACTGCAATGTGATCCGCCGAGGCAGTTCACATCATTATGGATCCGGGTGGAAAGCTGTCTGGATGTTCTCTACTGACATCTCCACATACCTGGTCATCGAAGGCAGACACATTACTATATCTACTTAAACATAGAAGAACAGCCTGTCAAGCCGCGAATTCTCCTCTGTATTTAATGGATCATAACAACTTCATCACGTTATCTCTACATACCCCGCCAAAGAAGGCATTGATATCATGGACATAGATGGAACATCTTTTTTCCTCCATGGATATCATACCTACTTTGATCGGCTCCTCTAAGGAAGGCCGCATTATCTTAAAAATGACGGAAAAGGACTTTCTCCTGAACGGAAAAACACTACCTACCTAGCTTCATTGTCATATCCTAACTGCCTAGTGATTTTAAAGAGGCAGGTCATATTCTCATGGACGTGGGCGGAAGGGCCTGTTGCTTAAAGTAATGAGATAGCTTCATAATATATGCTCAAAGACTTGTGAAAGCAGGCCACTTCACCATAGATATGAACAAAAAGGTCTTCATTCTTAACAAGTTCAATATCTTTCATCGTCCCAGCTTAAGATGGTCAACAGAGCAGGCCATATCATCATGTATATAGCCAGACACGCCCGTCCCTCCAACAAAGCACGATAGTAAATACTCTACTCTATCCTATACCAGAAAGCTCTAACAATACCGGTCATATCGTCATAGATATCGCCGGAAGAACCCATCCTCTCAACGAAGCACAATAGCTGCTTTATCCCATCTTGTCCCAGGTTAGAAAGCTCCGACGATATTAACGTCTCAGACTCCGGCCTACTTGACGGAGTAAGATAGCTTCTTCACTGCATCCTGTCCCATCTTGAAAGGCTTTGACAGTAGGCAATATCATCACGGACATGACCGGAATGGCCCGGTAACTTTACGGAGCAAGATATCTGCTTAATAAATGATCTCATGGAGCAGGCAACAGCATCACGGATATGGCCGGAACAGTCAGGTATCTCAGCAGAAGCAAGATATCTATCTACTTTGTCCCATTTGATCCCATGCTAAAAGGCTCCAACGGAGTAGGCCGGAATGCCCGGCGTCTCAACAGGAACAAGATATCTGCTTCTTTCCCCCTTATCACATACTGGAAAGCTCGACGGAGCAGGCGACATTATAATAGATATGGTCGGAATAACCTGGTGGCTCAATGGAAAAAAAACAGCTTTATCATCAGGCCTTCATGTTCAGGATAGGCCCCGCTTAAGAACCCATTCAGGTGATTTACACAATATCGTCGACATACCGAGTGTTTAACGGGAGCAAGATATTTGGTTCACCCCGTCTTATCCCGTCGTAAGAAGCTCCACCAGAGCAGGTGGCAGCATAATAGACATGGGCGGAATAGCCCGGTGTCTCAATGGAAGAAGATAGCTTCATCATGAGGCCCTCATGATATGATGGGCTCCGCTTAAGAAATCATTCAGATGATTTTCACAGTGCCGTCGCGACGGCGGGCGTCTTAACAGGAGCAAGATGTTTGGTTTATTTTATTCCACCCCATCTTAAAAAGCTCCGATGGAGCCGGCGGCATCACGATACCTAGATATGGGCGGAAAGGCCCGGTATCACAACGGAAGAATATAGCTTCATTATCAGGCCCTTATAGTCAGGATGATCCCGCTTCAAGAATGGTCCCATTTATGATAGACACTATTCAGGTGATTTGCACAATGTCGTCGAGATGCCCAGTGTCTGAGTATTTATCTGGGACCTCTCTCACATCTTCTCCTCTTCCACTTTGTTTCGTCCGAGCCAGCTACAAAAGTCTTTGCTTCATCAATACGTGATGAAGCCACACCCTCAAGACGTATGTATTCTAACACAAGTGTTCATCCCAGCTCGCAATCACATATTCGCTAACACACACGCCCAGTACTTTATTTCGCGCCACCACGCGCTTCCACGGAGCGCTTCGATGCGGCCTCTTGTAGGCTTGCTTGTGAACGTCTCAGTAATTCAGAACATCTCTGAGAAGACCCTTTATACGTTCACAAGATGATGTTAAGTTCATGTATAGTCACCATTCTTGGGCTATCGCCATCTTGAGCCTTGACCATTCTTGGGGTCTGTTCCTTCCCTCTTCACCCTCTCTTTCCTCTCTTCTTATTGCACCTTCCTTCACTGCAAAGTTGGTTGCGTCAAGTGTCCCGCTCCTTCCTTCTTTAAAATCTTTTGAAAAATCTGCCCCCCACCTTCCCAGTCCTCCCACTCTTTCGACTTTTCGCACCACTGCCTCACTGCCTGCGGGGGTCGCTTACCTCGTCGCCTGCCCTCTCTTCTTTCCCACTTCCTCTCCTTCCTTTTTTCGTCCACACATCGACAGCCTCACCTCGTTCCGTCTTCCGTCGCATCTCGGCGTCCCACCTGTGCCTTCCTCAACGGTTAGTCCAGTTCATCTTCCCCTTTTCTCCACTATCTTCCCTACCGACCGGTGCCTCTCCGCAGCCCGGGTTGGCGGTGCCTCGAGGGCATTTTGCTTTGCTGGAAATACAGTTTATCAAGAATTCCTGAGTTGTGTCACCAGCTTCTCCTCCTACAGACGACCCTGGTGGTCAGTCCTCGCCACCTTGGAAGTCAAGGACCATCAGACACTCTCGCAGGAGGCACCGAAGGACGATATCTACATCACGCATTCTTCGATCTCACCTGCCTTGTGTGGTCGAAGAAGTCCCCTTCAACCTCCATCTACTTCCCGTCTCCGTCTGGTTGCCCTGCCCACCTGTATTTACTGCCCCCTGATTTACCTGGGTTGATCTTGCAGTCAGCCAACCACCAACCCCTGATCTCACTGTGTGTGTATTATGTGAGTTACCACCCGCTTGGGGCTTACACAATGCATCTCGTACTTGCAATCCGAGTTCTCAACTGCTGACTTTCACTTCCTCCCAGAAAATATGGCCGCAATTGCTCCAATGGAAATGCCTGGCCCCGCCGCCAATGTCATCCCGCTGCAGTGCTTGATCTGCCCCAAGAAGCCCACCTTTTCGGACCTCTCGCACCTCTTGACGCACATCGCTTCCAAGAGCCACTTGTCCCAGAAATTCAAAGTTGGCTTGCGACCTGACCCCGAGTCCAAGGCCGATACTGCCGCCTACCTCGACTGGGAGGCTCGCTATGGCATCAATGATCTCCTGGCCGAGCGCTTGGCTAGTAAAGAGAAGAAGACTACTGGCAAGAAGAGAGCCCGGAACTTTGCTTCCGCCTCTGGGGTTAGTTACTAGCTTCCACCTCCGAGGTGACATTCAGACAATGAACACACACTGATCATGCAACCCGGCCAACTTGCAGCCTCGAGACCGCCCTCATGATGATGACACTGCTCTGATGATGGATAGTATCAAGATCGAGCCTGATGAGATTCTTCACGCCCAAGCTATATACGGTTGGTCCTCTTCTTCAACACGTCAGGGGTACTTCGACAATTCCGGCTTCCAGACCCCTACCACTCGTCGTTCTCGAGACAGCGCCACGCTTCCCAGCACCCCTCAGCAGCAGCACAGCATGATTTTGAGAAGACGCCGCTTCCCATCTGAGTCAACTGCTGTGAGTGGGACGACATCTGAACTCCTGTCCGAGAGCACCGAAATGCCCGAAGACACCAATGAGGGCGACAATGCCACTAAGCTCAAGGGTATTGTGTATGAGGGAATGGGGCTCTTTGATTCTGCCACGACTCCGCAGAAGAAGAAGCGGAACCAGCGCAAAGACGCATCTGTTTTGGTGAAGATGCAGCAAACGTCGAGAGATATCACATCCGTGGAGACAGTCTACGAGCTGACCGAGGAGGGTCTCAAGCGTTTGCGCGAGCGAGATGTATATGACAGCCCTTCCATTGATGGCAGTCAGGTATGTTGGCGGTTGTCATTCCATCCCATTTTAGGCCAAAGATCAATACTAATACGACCCCCAGGATGAGGCGGAGCCTAGCAAGAAGAAGCGGGCTCGTCGTACGCTCACTACTGCCACTTCGAGACAAGCGCGCCGTTCTTCGGCCCGCCTGACCAGAAAGATGACTGCGGACCCCAATGATTATCACAAGACAGAGCGACTTGATGAAGTGGATGAGGATGCTGATGGTGAGATCGATGACGATGTCGGACCAGCCACCCACACCCATCTCCCGGCGGAGACGTACGATGTGTTCAGTGATGGCCCCAAGCCGGCCTCTCAGCACTCTTGGATGGGCGGCGGTTGGCAGATGACCAACGGCCCGTTGGTGACGACCCGCCACCACAGCCCGATGGAAGACTATGGGTGAGTAAAAGAAGCGACATTCTCAAGTGAATACTTCGATGGCCGCTAACATGTTGCCAGGTATGACAGCCGCCGGAGCAACGCGTTGCGCTCCATGAGCACGAACCATCCCTCGGAAGCGGTCAGGACCCATTCGCCCTTCCACTTTCCCACTCGGGATGCTGGTGCCTCTGCGTTCACCAGCCAGCCATCCATTCCTGCCGCCCCGTTCTATCATCCGCACGGGTTGTCGAATGCCGGCACCTACACGGGCAACCCGTTGTGCGCCCAGCCTCGCCCGATCTACTACAGCGCGGGCTACACGGGCTACACCACCGCCGACATCAAGCCCCAGCCCGGCTTCCAGGCGGTCAACATGACCCAGAACTTGGGCAATCTGGGCTACGGCTCGTACAACCAGGGCCAGTACTCGGCTGACCAGCACGACAGCGTCGGCCAGGACTTCGATCTCTGAGGTTGAGGAAGGGCAACGTTGGCCCTCAACACTTGGGTTCGGGGCCAACACCTTCCTTCTGTACATTACCAAGATTTGCTCAGCCGGCGGCTCTGAGCTCAAGGAGCTGACCTCTTCCTCTTCCAGATGATCGCGCGCGCGGAGTCTTTTTCGAGGGAGAAAAGCGAGTGCTCGCTTTCTGGCACGTCAGCTGTCACATCGACGCGGAGGGCGTGGGAACCGCCCACACGAACAAAGGCGTTTGATCTCGTTTGATTCCTAGCATCCTCGACTGAATCACTGATATTTGCATGGTTGGAAGGCGGTTAGGAGGGAAAATACATGAACACGATGGCTTTTACTTGGGGAAAAGTTTATCTTCCAACCTAGGTATTCGGGTTATTAGCTTTCGGGAGCTTTCTTCTTTTTTTTTTTTTCGTCTTCTTACAATTTAGCAACAATAAGCTTGCGTTAGATCAGAGAGGTCTTGGAGGGATGGATGATAACAGATAGTATAGCCTTTATACAAGCCCTAATATACTCGTTTTATTTAAAAAAAAAAAAAAAAGAAGCTGTCTTGGTGGGGGTTTCGGCGAAGTATGTTTGAATTTGGTAAAGTTGGTATTGGTGTGAAAATCAAACACTCGACGACTTGGCAACGAACATGTCGGCGTAAACCTATTTATGCAGAGACGAGACGGTTTGGGAGCGATAAAATTCCCACTTTTCATCTCTCGATATTTTGATTATGCTATCTCTGTGTTTTTTTTTCTGCAGGGTCAAGTGAATTATGATTGCTGCCTGTGTTCTTTGCTCCCTCCTGTCTCTTTGTGCAAAATTCAGGGGTAAAAGTGGGGCGCACACAATGCCAGGGCAGCGTGAACAAGACAAGGGACGATAGGAAAGGGGGATTGTATAACAGGGGTCAGGGAGATAGGGAAGGTGCACAGGTACTACGGACGCAGAAAGTTGTTGCTACAGGGGGGATAAAAGGGAGGAAGGAGCACGGGGGTGTGCTTGCGGGGATGGGTGGTCGGATGTAAGACGACGGGAAGGAGCTGGCCAGGGGGTTGGGGGTAGCGAGGTGTAACACCCGCCCCCCCATGGAGGGAGGTGGATATGGCGGCTGTATGGAGAAATAGCAAAGGCACTACTAACCGCCGGAACCATCACCCCCCCC